AGGAGGCACACAGACAAGTAGTTGTTGTTGTTGCTTTTCACATGTAACAGGAAACCACATAACAGTGGTTTGCCCTGATGGAATATTACCCGGCCTGAAAAAAGAAGGAAGTTCTGACACATGCTATCATGTGGATGAGCCTTGAGAGCAGGATTTGGAGTGAAAGAAGCCAGCCAGTCACAAAAAAAGACAAATACCGTGTGATTCCACTTAGGTGAGGTATCTAGCGTTTGTCTACTGTATGAATGTGACTGTTCATTGAGACGGAAAGAAGAATGGTGGTTACCAGAAGCTCGGGGCAGGGAGGAAATAGGGAGCCGTTATTTAATGAGTTCAGAGTTTCAGTTTTACAAGATGGAAAGAAGTTTGGGGATGGATGGTGGGGATGGTTGCACAACAGTACGAATGTACTTAACACTGTGAAACTGTACACTTAATGACGGTTGAGATGGCAAAGGCAAGCTCGTGTGTTTACCTCAGTTTAAAATTTGAGGGAGGAAAGGTACACAAGCAATCACATGCATTGTTGCTTAGGGTGAAGCTAAAGTGGTATGTAAATGCAACATATATAAGGGGTGAGATCGCAGTACAGATGATACACCAGGAGTAGACACTGAGCTCAGACTGAAGGTGCCTCCTAGACCCTCGCCACCCTCTGCAAGTCCTCCCTTCACTTCCCTCCTGCACATTTCCGTGCCACAGGTGGCCCATGGCCCGAGCCCAGGAGGGCTGACCCTGATCCCTCGGGTCTGTGCAGACTCGCCAGTCTGCATCAGGGATTTGAAATCCTGAATCCTGACATTCACAAAACTCTGTGCTTCACTTCTGCCTGAGCACTGTCAGCCTCACCCTCAGTCGTGAGCACCAGATTCTTCTCAGCATCCTCTATTGGAGGAGATTTGGGGCCCAAGTGTGGGGGGCAGGAGGGACCCAGAGAAGGGAAGTGGGCTCTGTGTTGGGCCTCTGCCTAGTGGAGCCTAAGCAGGCTCCATCCTCTCCTCGCCTGTCACACATGCCAGCAGGGGGCATGGCTGTGGCTGGGATCCTGAGTTGTGGCTGGGCTCCTGAGGGAGGAAAGGAGGGTGTGGGGAAGGACCAGAGAGTGAGCCATGCTCCTCCCTGCATGTGCAGCCCAGAGCCATTCTGCATATTAGACACGTGTGGTGGTGCAGGAGCCCCTGGGAGACAGTTCCCAACTCTGACACCGGCTTGGAGACCGGATAAGTCCCTTCTAAAGGTGTGCAGACCTCGCTCTGCAGAACATCGCGTGGGTGTGGTGCACAGGAAGCCTTCCAAGTTCAAAGTAGGCTGGGTCCTCGCACTGCTGAGCCCCTGCACATATCTTAGGCACTCAAAATGGCAATAACAGTGCAGGGCGGGGCAAAAGGAGACTTATAGCTGTCCCTATGGAAACTAATACAATAATCAATTAATAAGAATGTAAGAATAAACTCTGTGTTTCGTGTACTCACAACGGTAAACCCATGTTTGCTCCGCCCTGTATTGTTAAGTAACAGGCAACGTTTATCAAAGGCTTAGGATATGCCAGGTGCCACTGCACAGGTCTCACACGTATGATTTTACTTAATACTCGCAACACGTGAGGCTCACGGAGATGAAAGGAACATGCTCGAGGTCTGGGCTTTCAGGAAGAGCCCATGGGGAGAAGATGAAGAAGGAAAGAGAATTAACTACCGATATCCATGCTTGACTTAAAGCAGCACTTCTTAAGCTCTAAAGGGCAGGCGCCTCACCTGGGAATCTTGTTAAAAAGCAGAGTTTAACTCAGTAGGTGTTGGGGGAGCCTGAGATACGGCGTCTCACAGCGGAGGGCTGGTGCTCTCGCTGTGAAGACCAGATGCAACGGGGAGGCCTCTTCTGCACCTGGAGTGGAATTCACTCACTCACTCATTCATTTATTCGCACATTCACTGGCGAAACAGTCGATCTGGTAGTTCCAATCCTGTCTTCATTTTACTAAAGGGGTGGCCTCTCTGAGTCTCAGCTGTCCATCCATAAGATGGAAATGAAGCTCACCTTGGATGGCATCTTTGTGAAGACTAAATGCAGTCACGTGGGGCCTGCGCTGTGGTGGACATTCCATACGTGGTCAGCGGAGCTTCTTTCGTTATTCATTTATTTATTCATTTCAGCCAATATCCCCATATGGTTCCAATACCCTTATTTTAATAGGTATTTATTGAAAACCATGTTTATTAAAACAAAGATGTCCCAGTGTCTCCAGCGGGGACCGTGATGGACCCAAGTCACCATCACGAGTCAGAGGACAGATGATGGTTTCTGCACGAGATGCAAAGAAATTCGCGGGGAGACAGACACAGTGCTGAGCTGTGGGAGCCACTTGGCAAATGACTGCACCAGAGAGAGTGAGTGAGAAGTGTGTGTGTGAGCGGGAGAGAGAGAGAGAGAGAGACTAGAACTGGGTAAAATGTCAACAGATTGCAAGCTGTTAATTATCTGGAGAGAACTAAATATTATGTAGGCAATTATCCACAGGCGTCTGCAAGCAACAATAGGAAAACTTGGTCCCCAGCCGAATTCCCTCCCCCCTTGGAGGAGAGCCGGGGGACGGGCTTTAGCATTCCCAGCAGGCTTTTCATGCAGAGGGAGAGTGAGGGGGACCAGGCCCCAGGGAGAGGGGACAGGCCGGGGACACCGCTCTCTGCTTTGAAAAGCGGCTTTACCCACAAGCTCTGGGCCTGGAATCCACAGCTCCCTCCCCGTGGGCCCTCCCTCCCCCACGATGTCATCTTTTGAGAGGATTTCATGTGGAAGCATCGCTAAGTAAATTCGCTAAATGCCTATTCATCCCAGTCAGATGGGGACTTGGTGAAGCGGTAAATGTGAAAATGGCCCCAGCTCGGGGCCCTGAAAGGGCTTTCTGGGGTTGCCAAATGGAGCTGCAGCCGCTGACCCTGGGAGGCCTGAGGCTTCGAGAACCCTCTCCCTCCCCACAACCCCCAGCCCCAATCCGGCCCCTTCGATCCTCCCACTGAGGCTACTGAGAGGCCCCTGTTTATTATTCCTGCTGCCAGGGACTTATTCAGAGGTTGACTTGTCCCCGCATTCATCAGGACAACAATAATGAACTGGCACAGAGAGCAGCGAGGGGGCTGGCGAGTAGGAAATGCTGGGACGTGGAGATGGTTGGGAGGGAGCTCGCTTTAATTTTTGTATTGGCTGCTTCAGTGAAGACCTCTCCCAGCAACTTCAGGAGGCCCCCACAGGCTGCCGTCACTTGGCGTGGGACACATGTGGGCTACACCTGCCCATGAGTGGGCAGGTGTGTCCACACGGGAGACGCACCTTCACTGCGCAGACACGTGGTGCGAGCCTTTGTCTACAGCCCCGGGGTTCACCTCCGGGCACCGGCAGGGCTGAGTCGCTGTGTGTGCCGGATTTAGCGCGTTGCAGGCACAAACGGGGTTTCTCTGGAGTCTGCCAGCCGGAAGGGCCGGTTTTGCATCCGTGTTTATTGCAGTAATGGGACGGGACATTGGCAGTGCTCGCTTCCACTGCAGCATCTCTTCACTGCTCTGTGCCCCCTCCACTGGTATTATGAGTTGGTCAAACATGAGCCATCCAATCGCGGAACAGGGGCTCGGAGAGGCGAGACTGCAAGGAGATACAGGGAAATGAAGGAGCGAGCAGGGAGGGGTTGTGGCGGCTTGGACCAGATGTCGGAGGCAGAGAGAGTAGAGAAGCTTGTACTCATTGTACACCTACTGTGTGCCCCTTAAACCCACCCAGGTGAGTCTAGGGAAGGCAAATGACTTACCTTGAGAGACACAGCCTGGTCAGGAGAGCCCCAGGGATCTGTCTCCAGATTCTCCTGCATCTTGAGCCCAGGCATCACCTTCCAAGGTACCCGCCTGCCGCCCAAAGGTCTAGCCTCCAGTCTGTTCCCATAAATGTCCTTCCTTTTCACCGCCTGCACGGCTCTCCCAACTTGAAACAATGGTTAACCCTTTTCTTCTAAATAAAAACCCCTGAGCAGAGAAGCCCGATGATAAAGGAGCTGTCACTTCAGCACTGGTTTACCTGTTTGGGTTTATTCAGTGGAAGAGGAGACTACATTTCTGGCAGATGGAGACCGGTGTGACTGCCTTTTAAAATGCTGTCACAGCTGTGTGCACACGCTGATTAGCTGTGACTACACTGCTAGTGCCGAGATTGATGGTGATACGTTTGGGATAACAATGCAGGGAACGTTGTCATTTGTTTGTATCGCACTTTATCTCTCGTAAAGACCTCTCAATCAGTGGCCCGGTGGTTATTGAGAACATGGTAGTCACTCGTTCATTCACTCATTCATTCGTTTCTCAAAATACATTTGAAAGAGTCAGTTCACACTCAATCTCACTTTGAGTCATTTATTCATCCACAAGCATTTGTGTGGCTCCAGCTACATGCCAGTGGTGAGCAAGTGCAGCTAGTTCTGTCCTGATGGAACTTAAAATCCTAATGTCAGGAAGTTCAACATCTTCAGATGCTGGTAAGAGGGTGAAGTCAATAAAGTGATATGATAAAGGCAGACAGGGAGGACGCGGGTTAGGTGGGGTGACTATCAAAAACCTTTCTGATGAGATGACATTTGAAAGAGGATCTGCATAATCACAAGCGGCTAATGAAGGGAAGATATAGGGCAGGATTTGGCATGCTCAGCAAGTGCAAAGGCCCTGGAGTTGCTCTGTATTTGCATTGAGCTACGCAATGATGATTTACTATATTTATCAAGCCCAAGGCTGGGCACCAAAGATTCCAAAATAAGATCTTATGTTTATCCTCAAGGAGCTCACAGTGTTTTAGTGTGGTGTGGTGTGGTGTGGCCAGTGATGGCGACTCATCAAGGAATACAGCCTTTTCAGTGGGTATGGTGTGAAAGGAGGGATGCTATTTTTCGTGACAGAGAATGGAGCCAAGACTCAATTCCCCAGTGTCTCCAGCAGATTCTAACTTTCCTCTTTGTTTGTTTACAGGACAAATGACCAACTGGTGGCATTTCTCTCCCGATACCGAGATATGAATTTCTTGAAGTCACACGGCCGGGACAATGCAAGGTAGCATATCTCCTCCATCTTAGTACAAAAATGGAAGTGAAAATCTGAGTGGTCATTTGGGGGCTTCCTTCTAAGCAGTTTGGTGCAGCCAGAAGAAAATTGAGGGTGTGAGAAAGGCAGCCACAGTGGAATCTGAAGTAGTCCCTCAATTGTCAGGGAAGAGCAGCAATCATAATAAGTGTTTCTCCTCAGGTCATGGTCCTTTACGCCTTTTGTCAAGCACTTTTGTGCATCCAGGGTCCCATTGTGGCAACTTCGAGGTAAATAGGACAGAAGCCTGAGGCCCATAGCTTGTGATGTCCCCAACCATTTGGTCAGCTGGTCATTCAACAAATATGCCAAGCATGTGCCAGGCAGCCTTCTAGCAGTGAACAAGACAAAATCCTCGCTCTTGGGGAATTTACTCTTTAGTGGGAAAGAGTCCCATGCCAGCATGGAGTTGAGTTTTCCAGTATCCTGACTTCAACCCTGTGCCCTCACTGTTGCCTCACTTTGCTGCCCAAGACTTCGGCAGGAATTTGAGGCACCCAAAGCCCAGTTGGGCCCATTGCGCCTCCCTCATTAAAATGAGCAGGGCTCCATAGCATCACTACCACCCAGGTTTGAACTGGGTCCAAATCTCCACAGCCAGAGATCAGCCTGAAGGGATACAGTCTTGAGCGCCCCCTGTAGGAGAGATTGCATGATCAGCAACACCATTCAGAGGTAAAATACCATTAAAATCCAGCCCAAAAGCATTCTAGAATTTAAAATTGACCTCCAGACACAGTCTGATAGCTCATAGGGTGATGTTAGCTCGTCAACCTGTCTTGTTTGGCCCTCATGTTGGTTTGGTTTTGTTGTGTTTACTTCAGGTGTTCTATTTGAAAATTAATAGCCCATTTAAAAATAGCAGTATTTCCCATGGAAATCCAGATTTCTGGTTCATCTTAAAAGATAAGAAGTTTATCCAAGTCTCTGAAGTTCTCACCTGTCCCCCTTCCCTATCTGGCCCCATTGGCATTTCAATTGTGATCTCTGCTTTCGGTGTTCTCCCGCTGCTGGTGGAGGTGTGGCTTGGGCTGGCTCTGTGACTTAGTTCACCCAGTTATCCACAGCAGGGAGGGACAAAAGAAGCAGCGGGCTCCGTTTCCTGAGCTTTAGAGTAGTCACCCTAGAGTCCTTGTGGTGCATCGATTTCCTGCAGTGTAACTTTGATTTCATCCAGCTGTCTATTTATAGATTGTTCCTGTCATATTGACAACCTGCATTCTTATCTTGCCCTGGCTGGGGGGCTCAGTTGGAGCATCATCCTGTACACCAAAAGGGTAGCGGGTTCGATTCCCTTTTAGGGCACATAGCTAGCTTTCAGATTTGGTCCCCAGTCGGAGTGTGTATGGTGTATAGGAGGCAACTAATCTCTCTCTCTCTCTCTCTCTCTCTCTCTCTCTCTCTCTCTCTCTCTCCCTCCCTCCCTCCCTCCCTCCCTCCCTCCCTCCCTCCCTCTTTCTCTCTCTCTTTCTCTCCCTCCCTCTTTCTCTCTCTCTCTCTCTCTCTCTCTCTCTCTCTCTCTCTCTCTCTCTCTCCCCCCCCCTCTCTCTTTCTCTCCTCTCTTCCTCCCTCTCACCTCTCTTCTCCCTCTCTCCTTTCTCTCTCTAAAAGTCAACAAACATATCCTCAGGGGAGGATTATAAAAAGAGCCCCAGATTTGAGGAAGCTCTGTAAATCAGCACAGATGAGTATAGCATGTCCAGTAACTAAGGTGGGGGAGGCCTGGCAGAGGAAGAATTATAGCCTCTGTGTGTTGTGTCCCTGCTAAGTGTCCATTGCTTTGCTGGACCCTTTCCATGTAGGATCCAATTGCATTCTTATAGTCACTCAATGCAGAACCAAGAATTAGTAGCCCCATTTGTCAGAAAAAAAGGGGGATTTTTCCCTGGTCACACAGTTGGAAAGTGCTGGAATCTGAACCCAGGTCTCAAGCCCCAAAGTCCATGGGAATGAGGTAGAGCTGAACAAGATTCCTTGGAGGTGGTTAGCTATCAAAACTAGATCACATTTTCAGGTCCCCACCTTCAGTAGAGATTGAAGATCCTTTTTCCCTTCTAGGTAACCTTGTCGTACATGTTTTGAGCAAACACATTGAGAACAGAGCTTATTGTAAGTTAATAGATATGTTTGAATTACATCTACCCTGCTATTCTTGTTTCAGCCTAGTCAGTATTTGTTCTCTGATCACTGTTTCCAGCCACTCTGTTAGGAAATGGGTGTCAGACAAAGGGTAAAATCATGGGCTTTGAGATTACACCTCTAGGGTTAAAGTTCTCCTCTACCGTGTCCTAGCTGTGTTACATTAGACTGGTGGCTTGACTTCTCTGAGCCTTTTTCTTTACCTGTATAATGGAAATATTAATAGACCTTCATTCATGGGATTGTTGGGAAGATTAAATGAGATGCTGCACAAAAACATTTGACATAGTATAACTGCCCTATGATGGTGGTGGTGATGATAATGATGGCAGCACCATAAGTATTGGACTAAAATGTTGCTGTTGGGAGGAAGAAACAGATGATGTAAGGACCAGAGTCGTGCCTCTGGGTGTGGGAGTATATCCCATCTAATTGATGTGCATCAGCAGTGGACAGGTGGTACCCAAACAGCATGGGACAAGAAAAGTTGCTTGCACCTCCTTCTAAAACCCTCAAATCCAAGGACAGAATAGTTCACGCATTCCAACACCCACCCATGCCCATGAGTCCTCAGCTTGGATTTTCTTACTTGATAAATAAAGTCAGTAATTTAGTGTTAATTTAATAGCAACATGAACCAACATGTCACCGTCTGCCAGTCTCTCCATTAGCTGCAGCCTTGCCTATGACACAAGCTCAGCCTATGCCTTTCTCCTACGTCCTCTGTCCCACATGTGCAAAGCTCAGCTCGGTCCCTGTGCTGGTCAGGAGGGACACGGCGGGTGGGACATGATAGACCCACAGCTCCAAGTAGCTTAAGGGGGAAAGGGAGCCATTGTGTAATGCAACTCAAGCATCAGTGTCTGACGTTAGCCATGGCTACTCAAGCAGTCCAGCTGCTGTCGCCAAGCGCGTTTAGTTATTTGGTTATGTAATTCTTTTTCATTATTTCTGGAGAGGGTTAAAGTAAAATAAACGCATCCCATCAAATCACCAAGGAGTTCACTGGCAGGAGTCTGTTTTTTTAAGTTAGGATATAGCATCATCTTACTTCCAGGTGTACGGCATAATGATTTGATATCTGGATATATTGTGAAATGTCTTGTTACCATTCATCTCTACATGTAGTTACAGATGTTTTTCTTGCCATGAGAACTTTTAAGATCTACTCTCCTAGCAACTTTCAAATACACACTGCAATACTATTGACTGTAGTCACCATGCTGTGTACAGGACAGTCCCAGGTCTTATCTGTTTTTTTAACTGTACCTTGTGACCCTGCCTCCCTCCTCCCCCCACCTCCACTTCTGCTTTTCCCATTAACTTAACTTTCATTAGTTCTGTTGTCCTTTGTGTTGGTTTTAATGTTGTGGCTCTAGCTGGTGACCCTTCCCAGCTTATTAGCCTCATTTCACAGATAAGGAAACTGAGACTCAGAGAGATTAAGGGAGTTGCTTAAACTCACACAGCGAGGCCAGGGCCAGGGCTCAGACGGGGGACTGTGTCCCCAGAGCTGGGCATCCCGTCCTCACATGAGCCCTGGGCTACAGACACGCTAACTGCTCACTCAGTATGTGACCTTGGGTAAGTTACATCAACCACCTGTGTGTCAGTTGTCTCCTCTGTTAAATGGAAATGATGATAAAGCCAACCACATAGATTTACTGCAAGAATTAAGTGAATGAGCCTGGTCGGCGTAACTCAGTGGTTGAGCATTGACCTATGAAACAGGAGGTCACAATTTGATTCCCTGTCAAAGCATGTGCCCTAGTTTCAGGCTCAGTCCCCAGTGGAGTGTGTGCAGGAGGCATCTGATCAGTGATTCTCTTTCATCACTGATATTTCTATCTCTCTCTTCTTCCTTCCTCTCTGAAATAAATATATTTTTTTAAAGGAATTGAATGAATATATGGATAAGCTCTCTGTGCTCTGGTCCTGCCTGCCTCCAACATGCTGGCTGGCTTGGAGGCAGCCACTCGGCCTCTCTGGCTTCATCTCCTCCCTTTGGAAAACAAGCGGAATGAACAAGTCGGTCCCCAAAGTCCCTTCCCATTCCGATGCTTCTGGGCCAGTTCTTGTAAAAGACATTGTGACAGAGCAGAGAGCTTACAAGACCAAGAGATGGGGAGGGACAAAGGCAGGCAGCGAGACAAACAGAGCAGGCCACATGGTGCCTCTGTTTTTTAACTCCACGTGGTTCCTAATAGCTGCGTTGACCTTCTGTCCCCATCGCCCGCCCTTAGCAGCCAATTTGGACTTCCAGCTCCCGCTGCTAAGAGATGGCATAAAGGCAAACTAGTATTTTAATAGCTGCCAAATTGGTCCTGACTGTTCCTGTAATTAAATGAAGGGGAGTGTTGTGTTCACTGTTCCTCCTTGCTTTCCTCCAAAAATAAAGTACCTAGATATATCGAAAGACACAGCACAATTACCATCTTCCCGGAGAGCTTGGACAGGACTAGCAGAAGCAGGTGCCCTAAAGTCTACTGGCAGCCTGAGGTAGCGGGTCTTTGCAGACATCCTCAGGAGCCCCCAGCTTTGGCTTAGGGATCACCGGGAAAGTTTCCCACATCTTGGCAACCTAATCAAATCCCAGTGTGTGGGGACAGATCCCTTACAAGGAGATGGAGAGGAAAAGCATTTCCCTCAGCCAGAACAGTGTTTCCTTAGGGACTTTTGCTGAGGAAAAGTTTTGGTTGACCTAAGTTCTCTACCTAATTCAAGGTCACAGAGGCCCCATGCTCAGTTCTGGGGTACAGTGTGATATAGTTTTAAGAGCGTGAGCGCTGGACTACTGCCAGCTATGCCATGTGACAGCTGTAGAACTTCAA